GCTGCGTGGCCGCGAGCCCCGGGAGCTGGCACCGGGATTGTCACCAACTGTCCCTGAGCGTCACCGAGTGTGCATCCAACCAGTGAGTGACACAGACTGGGGGCACTGGGATTGTCACCAAGTGTCCCCAAACGTGAGTGACACACACTGGGGACTCTGATCCCGATCCCTGGGGCTGATCCCAGGGATGGGTCCTGTGGCATCGATCCCAATCCCGATGTTTTCCCCGATATTTTCCCCACTGTTTTCCTGATTTTCCCCAATGTTTCCCCGATATTTTCCCTGCTATTTTCCCATTTTTCCCTCCTGTTTTCCCCCCGCCTTTCAGCCCCCTGGTGCGCCGGATCCGCCGGGATTGCTCCGACTCCTTCGGGGCCTTCGAGCGCTGCCTGCGGGAGCGGCCCCGGCGCGCGGCCGAGTGCGGCCCCCAGGTCAGCCAGTTCCTGCTCTGCGCCCAGAATGTCACCCAGAGTGGCACCCCTGGGGACACTGCCACGGCCACCCCCAGCGCCACCCCCAGGGACAGCCCCAGTGCCACCTCCGCAGGTGAATTTTGGGGTAAAAATGGGAATTAAACCCCCAAATGAGGCCCCCACGTCAGCCAGTTCCTGCTCTGCGCCCAGAGTGTCACCCAGAGGGTCACCCCCAGTGCCACCTCCGCAGGTGAGGCTGGAACCCCTGGAAGGCAATTTGGAGCTGGAATTTTGGGATAAAAATGGGAATTAAACCCTAAAAACGGCCCTGGCCCCTCCTGCTTCAGGAAATGCTGGAAATTTGGAATTTTGGGACAAAAGTGGGATTTGAATTCCCCAAAATCCACCTAGGTGCCACTTTTTTCCCATGGAAAAGCTGGAAAAAGGAAATTTGGGAAAAAATTGGAATTTTGGGATAAAAATGTGATTTTTCCCCCCGTTTTTTCCCTCCCCAGAGAATCCCTGGAATTAAAACCCATCCAGGAATGCCGAGAAAGCCTCAGAACCTTCTGGAATCTCCTCCCAAATCCTGGGAATTGCCTCTCTGGAAAAGGAGCCCTGGGATGTGGGGCCTGATCCGCAATTCCCTGCGGATTCCCGGGTTTTTATCCCAAGAATTGGAGGAAGAAATTAAAATTCCAGCAGGGTCTCCCCAGGAATCTTTGGGATGGGACCAAAAATTCTACTTTTCCTTCCAATTTTTTTCCTTTTTTCCCCTCCTTTTTTCCCCATCTTTTCCTGCCTTTTCCCCCCACCTTTTCCTTCTTTTTCAGCTTTTCCTTGGCTCCCTCCCAGTTTTTGGGGTTTTTTTTGGGAATCTCGTGTTCCCACGGAATTATTCAGAGATTGGAGTCGCTGTTTTCCATGGGAAAAAAAACCTCTGGGAATTCTGGAAGCCTTCTCAACCCTTGGGAGCCCCAAAATTCCGGGAATTCCAATCCCACCACCCTCCCCCAAATTCCTAAAACTTTTCTGTCTTTTTTTTTCCTTTTTTTTTCCTGGGATTTATTTCCTACCAGACATACAAAAAAACCCCAAAAAAACAACAACAAAAAACAAACAAACAAACAAACAAAAAAAAAAAGAAGCATTCCCAAAAATTTCTCCCCCAAAAATTCCCCAAAATTGGCACGGGAGTAGAGGGAAGATCCCAAATTCCAGCGGAATGCTGGGGGTTGGGGGTCGATCCCAGTTTTTTTGGGATTCCCAGGACTGGGATTTTCGGGAATTCCAGGCTGTCAGGAGGTGAAGTAGGAGCTCTGCATGGAGTACAGGCGCTCCATGGGATTCCCAGGCTCGGGCATTTCGGGAATTCTGGCATTCCCGGGGTACAGGCGCTCCAGGGCATCCCTGGGCTCGGGGATTTCAGGAATTCCAGCATTCCCGAGGATCAGCTGCTGGGAATTCTCTGTGGAGATCAGGGCCGCTCCCAAGGATCCCAGGGTGTCTCCGTCCAGCTCCTGGAAAACTCCCTCAGAGTCTGGGAAAAGGTGGGAAAAATCAGGAAAAATTGGCAAAAATTGGCAAAAATTGGGAAAACCGGGATGGGGCCTGGGGATTCCCAGCCCGCCCCAGCTGAATTCCCGGAATTCCCAGAATTCCCTGCAGTTACCGTAGGGCCGGAGCTCCGGGGGGGTTCCCCGGAACATTCCGGCCTCGCTCCCGAATCCGTTGGGCTCCAGGGACGGCGGCGGAATCCGGGAAAACGGGACCAGGATCCGCTGCAGGCCTGGGAACGTCGGGAATGGCGGGATGTGGGATATCAGGATGTGAGATATCAGGATATGGGATATTGGGACGTGGGATGGGGATGTTGTGACTTCCCAGTTCCTGATCCCTCCATCCCTGATCCACCCCATTCCCATTTTCCCACCCCCATTCCTGTCTTCCCACCCCATTCCCGTTTTCCCACCCCATTCCCGTCATCCTGACCCTCCTCATCCTCATTCCCATCCCGGCCGCTCCTCCCGGGTCCTCTCCCGCCTGGAATTCCCCCTCTGGAATTCCCGAGCTGCTCCTGCTGCTGCTGCCTGCGGGCAATCTTCTTCATCTGGGAGGAAAAAACCACGGAAAAATCCCGGGAAAATCCCGATTCTGGAGGATTTGGGGTTGTTTTCTGTCCTGGAATTCCGGGAATTCCCACCTTGGCTCGTTGGTTCTGAAACCACACCTGGACCACCCGGACCGTCAGCCCCGTCTCGGCCGCCAGCGTCTCCCGCACCTGGAAAAATCCCTCGGAATTCCGGGAAGGCGACCAGGAATGGGGAAAAATCCCTCAGAATTCCAGGAAGGAGAGCAGGAAGGGGGGGAAATTCCTTTGCAATTCCAGCCCCCAATCCCGATTCCAGAACCCCGTCCCAAAAGCCCAAAATAATCCGGGATCAATCCTGGCCCATTCCCGGCCCATTCCCAGCATGTTCCGGAACGTTCCGGCACCTTCCGGCAGGGTTTGGAGGAGACCTCAAAGGAGGCTTTGAATGCCCGGCGCTGTTGGGAGCTCAGGATGGTTCGGGGCCGCTTGGAACGTTTGGGATCCTTCCCGCCGGAATTCCGGGAGCACCGGGAATCCCGGCCCTCCTCGTCCTCGCTCCGAGCTGCGGCCAGAAAAAAAAAAAAAAAAGGAAATTTTGGGGAGAATCCTTCTTTGGGACTTGGAATTCCCAGAAGATTGTGGTTTTTTGGGCTGTTCCAGGCCTCGAATTTCCAAGGAAAGGTTTGGCTGTTCCAGCCTTAAGAAATTCTCAAGAAATCTCCCCAAACAATTTAAAAAATCCCCAAAAAGCTTAAAAAAAATTATGCAAAATACTCCCAAAAAAATACTTCAAAAAATTTCCAAAATATTCCCAAAAAACTCCCTAAGTAAATAATTAGTGATTTAAAAAAGTAGTGATTATTTTTAATTGAATTAGTGATTATTTTAATTGAAAATAATTAGTGATTTAAAAAATCACTAAGAAAAAAAGAAATCAAAAACCCC